TGTTGTTGTTGCGGTTGATGATGATGATGATGGTGGTGGTGGGGATGATGATGACGATGATGATGATGATGATGATGATGATGCTGGTGATGATGACGACACTGATTATGATGCTGATTGTGATGATGCTGCTGATGATCACGATGCTGATGCTGATGATGCACATGATGATGATTATAGCGATTATGATGATGGCGGTGATGATGAGGATGCTGCTGCTGATGATAATGACAATCATGATGATGCTGATGATGCTGATGATGATTGTGCTGCTGCTTGTGATGATGATGATGATGGTGATGATGATGCTAATGATGATGGTGATGGTGATGGTGATGATGATGATGCTGGTGATGATGGTAATGATGCTGATGATACTGATGCTGATGATTATTATTATGATGATGGTGATGGTGATGGTGATGGTGATGGTGATGATAATGATGCGGATGCTGATGCCGATGATGATGATGATGCTGATGCTGCTGCTGCTGATGATGATGATGATGATGATGATGATGATGATGATGATGATGATGGCACCTATGATAATTTAAACGACACTGATGCTGCTCATGACAATTCTTGTGACGACGATCCCCTCTTGTGGACAGCGCGCAGTGCACAACTGGCACCAGCCGCCCAAGGCCCGCACCTCTTGAGGCACGCATGCCCTGGCCAGCATCTCGGCCTTGCCGCCAAGGCCCACGCTCACGCGGCATCTCCGGCCAGCCCTTCGCCGAGGACGGGAGCGAGCTCACGGTCTTCGATAGCATGGATGCGCGCCAATCGAGCCGCTCACGAGGCACGGCGTTGCAACCGCGCGCCGTCCCTGCAGGGGCAGGACCGAGCCTCCCCAGCCCAGGGCCTTCGCGAACTGCGCCGCCTGGCCAGGGCTCAGCAGGCGCAGGGCAGCGCTGACGTGGCCCGTGAGCTCCTCGTCTGCCCGCACGCCCTTCTGCGCCAGCTCCTCGCCCCACTTGGGATGCAACTCCTGGGAGGTCAAATTCTGATTTTGCACTGGTCCTTCATCCGGCTTCATCCGGCTTCATCCCGCTCAATCCCGCTTAATTTGGCTTAATCCCGCTCAATCCGAGGCCCACTCCGGCGTAACAGCTCCCAAATGGCGGCTTGGTCCTCCTTAATTTTTCCGACGAGCCTCCCAGTACCCTGACCTTCCAGAGAGCTACTTTGTAGCACGGGAGGCCTAAAAACCTAACAAACCAAACGAAGCAGCCTAAAACCAAGACGTAGAAGAGCTCTGGGACAGGTTTTTTAGGTCGCGCGCTATTTTTTCGCCCTCCTGGAAGGTCAAGGGTCCTCCCTATTTTTGTCCGACGAACAAACCTCCCAGTGGTCGCCTCCTGCCGGCCCCAGTGTTCTGTCGTGGAGCGAGGCCCCGCCAGTCGCGGAGCGAGACTCCCGCCGATGCGACGCAGCCGTCCTTGTGCGCGCGAAGCCCCCGCCCGCGCGCACGGCTCCCAGGTGGTCGCGGAGCGGGTTGTCACCCCCCTCGTGGAGCGAGGCTCCCAATTGGGCTTTGGGGCCGACGAAAAGCCCCACCGCGCCGGCCTGCGCCGGCTCGAGCGCCGGGGCGCCTCGGCAGGGGCGGGCTGCCGCCGTCGAGCACCGCGGTAGGCTCCAGGGCCGACGCCCCCGCCAGCGCCGCGCCCGAGCCCACGGGGCGCCTCGCGCGGCCGCGCCCGCGCCGTGCCCACCTCAGGGGAACAAGAATCTCCGGAGGGAGAAAAACACACAGACACAATTAATCGTCGACTCCCAGGAAAATAGGGGAAAATAGGGGAATTGGGCGGGAAGACAAAAACCCAGAAAATATGGAAAAATATGGGGAATCATTGTACTTGTGTGTATTTATTTGTGTGTCCTTGGGCCCCTTGAAAGAAGGGACACAAACAAAAAACTCGAAGGCCTTCTCCGAAGGCGGCGGGACTTCTCAGAAGCCATGGCGGACGCCCGCCGAGCTCGACGTCCAGATTCGGCGGCACGTCCGGATTCGGCGGTTTCGTCGGTCCTCGGCGGCTTTTCACCCTCGGGATGCGTTCCAGCGGCTGCGCCTCGCCGAGAGCGTTCCAGGGGTGCTCGGATCGTCCCGAACGGCCACCGGAGACCCGAGTAGTTATGATCCAAGAAACAACTTCGGTGGCGCGCGGGGGGGGGCGTGAGACGGAGAAGGCCTTCTCAGAAGGCGGCGGGACTTCTCAGAAGCCATGGCGCCTTCTGAGACGCTGCCTGAGTCTTCGGGGGAGAGACTCCGAAGACTTCCCAAGAGGCCGGAGGACTCCCGAGCCTTCCTGAGGAGGCCCGCCCATTCTCACTTCCCCCGCGGACTCGCCGCCGACAGGTGTAGGGGAACAAAAAGTGACATAAACATAACAACTCGGAGGTCCGCGCGGATTTCTCGCATCGGCGCTGGGACCCCCCAGCGGCGCCTCCGGCGCCGCCCCTGGCGCGCTCCGCGCGCCAGGGAGGGGGGCCCAGCGCCGATCCGAGAAATCCGCGCGGACCTCCCCGACTGCAGATGGAGCGTCGGGGCCGCGGCGCGGCCCCCGCGCCCGCCTGCGCCTCGCGGTGCCTCGCCCGCTGCCCCTCCGTTCGGGCGACTACAACGGGCATGGTTAATGGAGGATGACGATTAATAAATGACCGGGGGTCGTGTTCACGCGGCGGCGCCTGGGATGACGATTAGAAAAAACCAGCTGCGGGCTGGAAAACTATTCTTTTTAATCGTTCTCCTCCAGTCAGAAAATTATGCAGAAATAGCAAGAAACTATTTTTTAATCGTTCCCCTCCGTTTTTTATTAATCGTCATCCCGCACCGTTAGGGCCTGAGGGGGCACGGCACTGTCCTCGTCGGGCCTCCTCGGGGCGCGGGAGGACTCCATCGAGGTCCCCGCGCGCCCCCTAGGGTGCCCCCCGGGACGTTCCCCAGGGTGCCGGCTGCAGACCGCCCCCCTGCAGACCACACCCTCTGGAGTCGCCGATCCGTGCCAAAGCTCGAGCGCCCCGCCGCCAGCCTCTTCGTGTGCGCCGTCCTGCCGACGAGCGCCGCGTCGCCGAGCCCGCACGCGAGATCCAGGCCGGCGCCCACCGCGTCGCCGTCCTCGGCGTCCGCCGCCCTGCCGGCGCCGAGCCCGCACGCGAGCTCCAGGCCTCCGCCCGCTCCGCCGACCGCGGCGTCGGCACGCCGCGGCGCGGCGGCTGCCGCCCCGACCACGCAGGGGCCACGCTTGGCGGCCAGCCTCGGGCGTCGGGCCCCCCTCGGGACTCGGAGGGGACTGCGCGCGGTCCCGTGAGCCACTGCCCTCCGCCCAGCGGCGCGCCCTCCTCCGGGTCCGAGCCTCGCGCGCTCGTTCACGACCCTCCTGGGGAGGAGGGCGCTGAGCGCGCGGAGCCGCCCGCCCAAAGCTTCTGGCCGCCATCGGCCCTGCCGTGGCCCGCGGCTTGCACGACCGGGTCCTAGGTCCTAGGCGCCTGCCTCGGCGGGCTCGCCGTCAGACGAGTCGCAGGCGAAGCGGCGCGCGTCGGCCTCGAGGCCCCCGTCCAGCTCCGCCTTGTTACCCGCGGGCCCCGCCAGCGACAGGCAGAGCTCGTCGAGGCTATGGGCTCCGTCTCCGCCCCGCTATGGATCCCAAGACGCCGCTGGGGCCCCTCCCCTGCGCAGCGCGTTGTCGCGGCCCGCCCGCCTCTCGTGCCCCGTCGTGGCGGCCACGCGCGGGGTGCGCGCCGACGGCGCCGCCCTTCGTGGCTCTCGCGCACGTACTGCCGCTTCGGAGTCCGAGGGCGCGCAGCGCCCGGCAGCCTCATGGGCGCGAGGCGGTCTCATCCCAGCACGGCCACGGCCGGTGACGACGATGATGAGGTGTTGCTGATGTTGGTGGTGAGGATGATGGTGGTGATGCTGATGATGCTGATGATGCTGATGCTGGTGCTGGTGCAAGCGACGATGGTGGTGGTGATGATGATGATGATGATGATGATGATGCCGATGATGATGGCGACGATGATGATTGCGGTGGTGATGATGGTGGTGATGATGGTGCTGAGGATGCTGAGGATGGTGATGATGATGATGATGATGATGATGATGATGATGATGATGGTTGTGGTGGTTGTGATGGCGGTGGCGGTGCGGATGATGATGATGATGGTTATGCTTATGATGTTGATGATGACGATGATGATGATTATGATGCTGATGTTGATGATGCTGCTGCTGATGCTACTGATGATGGTGACGATGATGATGATGCTGATGATTGTTCCGATGATGATGATGCTGATGATGATTATGATGATGATGAGGATGGTGATGATGAACACAATGATGATGATGATGATGATGATGATGATGATGATGATGATGATGATGATGATGATGATGATGATGATGATGATGCCGATGATGATGTTGCTGCTGCTGCTGATGATGATGCTGACGATGCGTATGACGATGCTAATGATGCTCGTGATTTGCAGAGTATGGTGATGCTGAGTATGGTGATGTTGAGGATGGTGATGCTGATGCTGCTGACGACGATGACGATGCTCATGATGAAGATAATGAATAATAGTATGATGATGATGCTGATGCTGATGCTGATGCTGATGCTGATGCTGATGCTTATGCTGCTGATGATGATGAAGCTGATAATGATGATGACGACGATGATGATGATGACGATGATGCTGCTGCTGCTGCTGCTGCTGATGATGATGATGATGATGATGATGATGATGATGATGATGATGATGATGATAATGATGATGATGATGATGATGATGATGATGATGATGATGATGATGATGATGATGATGATGATGATGATGATGATGATGATGATGATGATGATGATGATGATGATGATGATGATGAGTCTGATGACCCGCATCGGCACCAGCATGTGGAGCAGTTGGGGGTCGACGAGGAGGACGACGGCGAGGGCGACGGAGACGAAGACGACGACGCTTGCCGCGGCCCGAAGCCATTTTGGCCATCAGCACGGGCCCGCCTTCCCGCGGCCGACCGCTGCCAAGGGCGGCCGCCGCTCGGGGCCATGCCCAAGAAGGCGCGGCCCTCGCCGCTGGCGGAGAGCATCTTCCGGGAGAAGCTCGCGGAGCTGCAGTCGTCCAACGAGGCGCGCCCCCCGTCCCGCCGTCCCGCCCCCGGGCAGTGCAGGGCACGGCCACGGCCTCTGCACTGGCGCCTGCCGCTCCGGCGGTGCTGGCCCACCACGCCTCGGCGCGGCGCGCTTGGGGGGCCACAGGCGAACCCTTACCCCGACCCCCCACGATTTCTGAGGGGGAGGGTGGGGTTCACTTCGCTCGGGAGCTCCCGGTCGGGGTGAACCCCACCCTCCCCCTCAGAAATCGTGGGAGGTATGGGTAGGGTTCGCCTGTGGCCCCCTAGCGCTGGCCACATCCCACTCCCCCAGCCGTCCACGTCTCGGGTTTTGTCCAGCCTCCCGCCCCGCGGAGCGGAGCGGCACGCTATCCGTTCGCAGGGCACAGCGTGTTGCTGGGGCCGCCGCTGCGACACGCTGAGCAAATGCTTCCGCCCGTATGCCAGTACCGCTGCCCATCCCTCGTCGCCACGGCTGGACTCGCCTCGAAGAATTGGTCAGAGCGCACCGCAGGAGAGGTCCGGGGAGTGGCGGTTGTCCTCCATCGTCCTCCTCCCCATACTCCCAGTCCTCCCCATCCCATTCCTTTCCTTTTGCGGTATATGGTGTAAGCGCGTGGCGCGCAGTGGCAATTTTGGAAGCTGTGGGCCGTAAAAAGGATGTGTACTACGGTATTGTCCTTCCCTCCGCTCCCTCTTTCCCTTTCCCCTCTTTATTCCCCTTCTCCTCCCCCTCCTGGCAGGTGTGGAGGGTGAGGCAAGATGTCGGTGCGAAGCACGGTCTTACGCCCCACCAGGGCATCCCTCAGGCCCCACCAGAAACGGCGGCGAGAGAACGATCGCAATGTGGACGAAGGACCACGAACTTGAATGCGAGAGTGCGCTCCCTCCTCTCCCTCATGCCCTCGCCCCCCGCCGCCCTGTGCTCGGAGGAGCCGTGCAGGCACGTGCTCCGGAGGGGCCCGTGTCGATCGAGCCAGAGGTGACCCCACGGCGCGGCCGACGAGCCCACGGCACCCGCGCGCAGGGGCCAGCTGCAGCAGCAGCAGCAGTAGCACGTCGGGAGCCTTGAGACGGGGGTCAATGCAAACGGGGGTCAGCCAGAGCGCCAGATCTTGCAGGATCCTGCGAAGGCCCCCTCTGGCTGACCCGGGTCAGGGAGCCGCTCGTGGCCGCGAGGCGGCCGCGCGTGTTGGCTGACCCGGCTCTGCGAAGGCCTGCGTTGCAGTTTGTTTCCTTTTCCTGCATTGCAGTTTTTGGTGTCCTGCTGACCCGGGTCTGGACTGACCCGGGTCAGAAGATCCCCGAAGCACGGAGAGTTCCGGGGACGACCTGAAGGCACCGTGCCGCGCTGGCGTCCTGCGAGGCATCGTCGATCTTCGGCCAAGGAATTTCAGGAGGGGAAGAACCACACAGACACAATGAATCGTCGACTCGAGAATATGGGAACATATGGGAAGTGGTGGGGAAGACAAAAACCCAGAAAATATAGGAAAATATGGGGAATCCTATTATTTGTGTGTATTTATTTGTGTGTCCCAGGGCCCCTTCAGAATTATACAGTGCATAGTTATTCGGCCCTCGGGGCCGACCCTATTGCACCGTGCCTCCCTGGAGCGAGGCCTGAAGGGGCTCCAAACATGATGCAGTGCACGAGCACCATTCTCGTAAGACCGGAAGGGTGCTGACGAGTGTGGCGGCTGCCACAATGTCCTCAGCGCCGCCGAGCGTGCCGCAGCTGTGGGGTGCAAAGTGCCTCGTTTGAGCGAGGCCTGAACGGGGTTCAAACCTGGTGCGGTGCACGAGCGTCGTTCTCGTCAGAGCTGGAGGGTGCTACGCGTGCGGCTGCTGCCACACTTTCCCGCTGTCGCCGAGCGCGCCGCAGTTGTGGGGCCGAGGCCCAGCAGGCAGGAGGAGCAGGAGGAGGAGAAGGAGGAGGAGGAGGAGGAGGAGGAGGAGGAGGAGGAGGAGGGGGAGCTGGCAGGGAGTGGTGGTGTGCCGTACCAGATGACCCAGAAGGTCCAGGCGGGCCTAGTCGGGCTCAACCTTTCAGGAGGGAGGAAAGGGGCGCCTTTCCCCCCAACCCTCCCGAGCCTCGCGGAGGGCCCGAGAGTCGCCGTTGGAGCACCATCCAGCAACGGGTCCGTGAACGAGACCTCGCCCGTAGACGAGATCCCCATGGCCCCAATCATCGCAGGCTCCAGCGGGTCATCGAGAAGAGCCTCAACGATTTCGATTGGAACTCCGACCTCTCCCAGGCCGAACAAAACAGTCTTTGGGATGGCCTCAGTGTGCGATCAGGCCACCCCTTCGACGAGTATCATGACCTGTTAGAGCAGCAGGTCCAGTTTTTCGAGCGGCAGGCGTCGCAGGACGCCCAGCGTGGTTTCGCCGACTGGCTGGAGACCAGCCTCAAGCAAGGGGGCGGAGCCGCCCATGCTTTCACGAGGGAGGTGGAGGTGGAGGTTGTTACCACGGAGGAGGCAGACAACTTCATCCTGGAGGAGGAGGTTTCAACGGACCCCGTGGACATCCTCAAAGCCAAAAATGAGTTTTGGAAGCAATACTCGGACCCAGAAAATATTCGGGACACCACACCGATCTCAGAATCCTGGACCCAGGACATTCGGCAGGAGGCCATGGAGGAGAAGAACATGGAGGAGCCTTGGGCGGAGGAGGAGGTTTTCCGCGCAGTCAAGACTTTCCCACCGCACTTAGCCACGGGCTTAGACCAGTGGAGAGTGCGCGATTTCATCAGGCTCCCGCAGCCAGGCCGAGCCGAACTAGTTGCGGTGTTGAATACCACCGAGGCCGAGCAGGCCGTGCCAGCCCAGTGCTTAGGGAACCTGGTTGCGTTCAAGCCGAAGTCAGTGACGGCGGACAGGCCGATCACCCTCACCACATCCCTCTACCGCCTGCTCATGCGCCTCAGGAGGGGGAAGATCAGCAAGTGGGAGGTGGAGAAGGCAGGACATTGGGATGCAGCAATCAAAGGGTCCAGCTGCCTGCGAGCAGGGATCCTATCAGAATTTGTTTGCCGAGATCGGGACAGAGCTTCAGATCAAGATCGCCGAAGGGCTTTTGGACATAGAGAAGTTCTATGACACCATCCACACCCCCACCCTAGCCAGGAAAGCAAAGGAAATGGGGTACCCCGTGATCTGCCTCAGCCTCGGGATGATGACCCACCTGGCAGTTCGGTTCCTCACTACAGACATGGGGGTCAGCGATCCAATCGTTCCTCAGCGTAGTATCCTTGCGGGGTGTGGACAGAGTGTCGCCTGGACGAGGGTCCTGCTGCACGACCTCCTGCGCCAGGCACATCACCGCTTCCCACGTTTTTCTATCCGTGCATGGGTTGATGATCTACGCGCGCGCATGGTGGGCTCCAGCAGGTCCCTTATAGAGGATTTCCCCGAGGCCATGAAGTTCCTCAAAGCTGGGTTGGCAGATCTTGGGCGCAGGCTCTCCCCCAGATCCACCCTCCTCGGGAACGACAGCGGGATCAGACATCAGCTTCTCCAGCGCTGTCATGAAAAAGGCGTTCCCCTACAAGCCAAGTTGGGCACCAGGGGCCCCGGCTTGGACACGACCGCGGGACAAAGAAGGCCCCTCAAGGTCCGGAGAGCTCGGCAGCGTCTGGGGTCCAAGAGGCACCAGAATATCAACAGGCTCCGCAGGGTCACCAAGAGCGTCCATCGACTCGACCGTGCAGGCGCACAACCACAGCTTCATTGGGGCCTCGAAGGTCATGGCGTTGCCCCTGCCGAGCTCACCCGTCACAGGAGGGCGGCGGGGGCAGCGCTAGGCGCCAGCAAGTCAGGGAGCTGTCTCACAGCAGGGCTCCACCAAGCCAAGCTGCCGCCCGACGCCATCGACCCCGCCATCTTGTTGCGGCTCCGCTTGTTCGAGACATGGTTCGAGCTGGTGGCGGCGGGGCCCCACTTCAGGAGCGGCATCGCAGCAGCCTGGCCGAAAGTCGTTGAGAAGCTCCAGCGAACCAGGCGGTGGAATAACGTAGTCAGCCACCTCAGTGCAGTCATCGGGGCCCTCCTGGACCTCGGGTGGGGCCCAGACACAGCGCGGTCCTGGACAGGGCGCACAGGTGAAGTTTTCCCAGTCGGCCCAGAGAAGTACGAGGAGCAGGATTACTTTCTTCGCAGGCTTCAGCAGTTCCTTCATCACAAGGCATGGGGAGGAGCTCAGGGAGGACATGCAGCAGGAGGAAACCAGGGAGGAGTAGACATCAAGAGCTCGCGCTGGCAGATCGAACGCCTATACCGAGATGGCCAAGCCAACCTCGCGAAGGCACTCAAGGCAGTCGGCAGTGTTGCCGCCTGGGGCCCCAGGCGACGCTACGAGGCAGGCTCCGCAGAGGAGGCCACCTGCCCACTGTATGGCGACCACCATTGCGATGATTGACACAAGTTCTGGGGGTGCCCCCTCCTCGAGCAAGTCGACCACCCCCTCGTCGAAGCCGCGCAAGACCTCCGAGACCTCGCCCAGGGCGGCAATCAACCCGAATGCCTGTGGCTCCGCGGACTGATCCCAACTGAGTTAGCCTTGAGAGCAGTAGAGGAGCTGACGCCTAGGCACTCCGTCCTGCATGGGACTGGCGCTTTCCTGGGCCCTCCAGAGGCGAGGGGCGGCTGGCACCTCGGCGCTGTGGATGGCTCAGGGGGTGCTTTCTCGGCCGATCCCCGCCTCGGGCGAGCAGGATGGGGCGCAGGAGTTTGGGGTCCAATTTTTTGTTCCCCTCGGCACTCTCCAAGGGGATGTCGTAGGGGCCCAGACTATAAATAGAGCCGAGCTCAAAGGGGCCATAGAGCTCCTCCGTCGCACCAAAGGGGGCCTCTTGGTGGTTACAGACTCAAGCGTACCTAATCAAGGGCCACTACAAAGGGCCCAGCAGGAGGCAGGCCACCAATCGGCGGCTCTGGTTTGAATATTGGCGCGTCTTGGGGACTCGCGAGGGCCATCCGAGGTACCTCAAGGTCAAGAGTCATGCGACTGTCC